CTTTTAAAATATAAAGGTGGTTTTAGCTTTTAAATCCTCTTAAGAGTTTTCTAAAACTTAGCTTTATGTTCTGCTCACACTTTCTCTCCATTAAGACAAATCCCATTTTCTTTGATAACATCACATCATTTCCACTGACATACTAATGGATCCCACTGTGTGTTACGAGTTTATGGCTATATGATTCATTTCTATGATAATCTCACTTTCATTAATATAACAGCTCCAATTGTAGTACATCAATTCCTGAGATATCCACATTCTCATCCTAATGACTTTTTCAACCCTTAATGGGTTTTAAAAGAGAAGAGTCACATTGTTCTGAAGAAAGAAAAAAAAAACAATAACAAAACTCTGTAGGAGACTTAGAAATTTCAACCAACTACATTGCTAGTGCCCTCTCAGCAAAATGGCAATCATTCAAGAATGTTGTTATCCAACAATTTGCATACATGCAGTACATTTTCTCAAAAGGATCTCAGAGAATATAACAAAAAACCCCAAAACTATGGAGACAAAAATAAACTTCCAAAGGTATTCAACATATATTGCTACATATTCTGGATTATACTCATTGTACTATAAAGATACTTAATCTGATAGCTACGGGACTGGGGGACTGTGGATGGGCTTCAAAGAGCAGATAAATCGCTGATAGTGTGTGTGTGTGTGTGTGTGTGTGTGTGTGTGTGTGTGTGTGTGTGTGTGTGTGTGTATCACATATATATGTTATAGATGCGTACATTTAAGGAAATAGTCCACAGCTTTCATCACATTCTAAAAGTAGTCTTCATGAGCCTAAAAGAAAAAAAAAGAGATTAAAAACCTCACCATTGGTTTATTTCTATAACATGAATTAGAGGATTCCAGCTTTCATATATAAATAGATATGGAAGGAAATAGAAATAGTACTTTTAGCCCTAAACACCTATATCATGGTACCAATATTAACTTAGAATTATTTAAAAAAAAAAAGAGAATTAATACAAAATTATAGTTTTCACTTAAGAAAGGTCAAAATATGACTTAAAATTAGAATATGGTAGTAGATGTTTATACCCTTTTCATGAGAAACAGAACTGTTTGAATCAAAGACAGATATTTTCACATAAATCAGTTAGAGAGTCTATGATCAATGGTAAAAGGGAATGAAAGTGAAATTTATGTAAGGAGGTTGGGAAATTTTTTATCTTAAGAGTTGACATGAGAATTTCTTTTCTTGTAAGACGTAGCCTTGAAAAAAAAAAGCCTGCTTGGGGGCAAGCCCATTTGGAGACCAAAACATGGGAGAAAAGAAATAAATTCATCCAAATGAGACAAATAGATGATTTTTGCTCAGAGAGAAAAAAGAAGACAGGAAAAGAGGGAGAAAGAACTTAGAGATGGCAAGAGATTGAAAAAAATTTGAAAGTAAGGGCCAAGAAAACTTATCTTGTGGAAGAATAGCTAAACAAAATTAACCAAAAATGGTGCCCAGGAGCAGATCTAAGTTTTGTAGGTATAAGCGGACACAGTTTTGATGGTTTTTGTTAAAAGAAACAAACCTGCCAGCCTGACCAGTAGAGTCAGATCTCATCTCTACAAAAAATTTTTAAAATTAGTCAGGCATGATGGCACATACCTGTAGTCCAAACTACTTGGGGGGGCTGAGACAGAAGGGTCACTTGAGCCTAAAAGATCAAGGCTGTAGTGAGCCATGATGGTGCCACTGCACTCCAGCCTGAGTGACACAGTGAGACACCCAACTCAAAAAAAAAAGACCGGCACAGTGGTTCATGCCTGTAATCCCAGTAATTTGGGAGGCCAAGGTGGGAGAATCATTTGAGCTCAGGAGTTCAAGACCAGCCTAGGCAATATAGTAAGATCTGTTCTCTACAAAAAATCCAAAAAAAATTAGCCCAGGTAGTGGCCCACACCTGTAGTCCCAGCTACCTGGATGGCTGAGACAGAGGGATTCCTTGCGCTCAAGAGGCTTTGTGTGCTAAGATCATACCACTGCACTTCAGCCTATGAGACAGAGTGAGACCCTGCCTGAAAAAAAAAAAGAGAGAGGGAGAGAGAAATAAACTCAGACTGTCAAATCTCTAATTAGAAACAAACCTTTGGAAGAAACATATAAGTTGAACTTCCTAAATTTTTAGCTTTATTACTTTCATGGAAATTCATGACAAGCCATGTCAACCATCCATTTGAAATTGTTTTCTCTGAGATATGTAAATATTGTCTCCTATACATATTCATCAAATCTCTTCAACTCAGAATGCTTTGAATAAACGTTATTTTTGTGTGAAATCAAAGAAGGAGCTGAACTTCTCATGAGATAGAAGAGAGGCCCCAGAAACAGGCATTTCAGAGACAAGCTGGTCCTGAGGACATAAGTCTTAGACTACAAAAATTTCACAGAAATCTTGAAGAAACCACTAAACTGAGATGAAGGAGGGATATCAAGTTAATTGTGCTTAGTTCTTAAGGGGCAGGGAAGCCCTCAACTGACATCTTGCTTACAAATGTAGGCTTAGACAGCAGGTCTTTTGGACAAATGTGGAAAAGCAGGCATATGCAACTCTACAGATCAAAATGCACACAAAAGCAAAGTAGGGTGGTGAGAGTAGACTTTACTTGAGTTCTCATTCTGCTATGTGCAGAACACCTCTTAAAATCCACATCTTCCTTACTAACAATTTTGTCCCCCTGAGGTTACCTTAGGCAGGCATTGAGGCATTACATTAAACAGGAGATGCGAGGATTCTGATTTTCATGAAAGGCAATGCAACATGATGGCTAGGAAGCCTGGGAGTAACTGCAGCCCTTATTAATTGTGTGATGTTAGTCAAGTTACTTAATGTTCTAAAACTCTGTTTCCTCATACATACAGTGAGGATAATATGGGACCTACCACACTAAGCTATTGTGATGATGAAGCGAAGTAATCTTTTGAAGCACTTGATACTGAGTATGAAATCTAGTTATTGATCAGTAAACCTATTACTATTACCTGAACTACAACTACTTCTATCACTGTTATAAGCCAATGAATTTAACAGGCTCACAAAAGGACTCTAATTCCAAGGAATATGATTGGAGTCTCTAAAGACTATCTTGGATATCCCATCTCATAAAAATGCATACATTCATTTCCTTCTTAGAGAGGCTGAATTGATGGCACAGGGAAAGCTGGAAAGCATAATATATCAGGAATTCAGGCTGAATTTGAAAGAGTTCAGGAATAATTATTGTTCTGGTTAAATGCCATAGTACTTAATAATCTATTAAAATAAGTTTTATGAATGGTTTCCAGAAACGTGCCACTGTACTCTACTCTTGGCCTTGAATTCTTTTTTATTTAATTTTATTTTATTATTTTATTTTATTATAATGACATGGGGTACACGTGAGCATTAACTACATAGGTAGGCTGCATGCAGGTGATGTTTGTGATTCCAACTGGCCCTCATTCTCCTAGTAGTGAACCTGGTACCCTTTGTGTTGTCACGTTTCCGCACCCCACCCATCTCCCTCTCCCCTGCCCTAAGCAGTGCCTATGACTGCCAATCCTCCCTTGTGTTAATGTGACAAATGTTTAAGACCCACTTATGAGTGATAACACACGGTATTTAGTTCTTTGTTTCTGTGAGAGATCACTTAGTATACGGTCTCCATCTCCATCCAAGTTGATGCAAAGTCCATGATTTTGTTCTTCCTTATGGCTGCATAATACAACAATTGTGTATATATACCACATTTTCCTTATCCAGTCCATTCTCAATGGGCAGTGGGGTTGGTTCCATGTTTTTGCTGTTGTGAATAGTGTGGCAATACATGAATGTGCAGCTGTCTTTTTGGTAGAATGATTTATGTTCCTTCAGGTATATCCCCAGAAGGGGAATTCCTGGATCATATGGAAAGTCAATTTTTAGTTCTTTTAGGAATTGCCACCATCACTTTCCATAGAGGTTGAAATAGCTTGCACTCCAGGCAACAGTATAGAAGCATTCCCTTTTCTCTTCACCCATATCAGCATCTGTTGCTTTTTGATTTTTTAAAGATGGCCATCCTTACTGGAATTAGGTGGTGTCTCATTATAATTTTGATTTACTTTCCTCTGGTGATTAGTGAGGCTAAGGATTTTTTTCATGTGTCTGTTGGCTGCTTGTATGTCTTCTTTGGAGAAGTGTCTGTTCAAGTCCTTTCCCAGTTTTAAAGAGGTTGTTTTTTTTTTTTATTTCCTTTCACTTTGTTTGAGGTCCTTGTAGATCCTGGATGTTAGGCCTTTGTCAGATGCACAATATGCAAATAATTTTTCCCATTCTGTGGTTGTCTCTTTACTCTATTGATGGATTCTTTTGCTGTACAAAAGCTTTTTGGTTTGATGAGGTCCCACTCATCTATCTTATCTTTTATGGCATTTGTTTTTGAGGACTTAGTCAAGAATTTGTTGCCTACTCTAATGTGCATAATGGTATTTACTATGTCTTCTTCTAGGATTCTTATATTTTGAGGTTTTACATTTAAGTCTTTGATCCATTTTGAGTTGATTTTTGTGTATGGTGATAGGAAGGGGTCCTGTTTCATTCTTCAGCATGTGGTCAGCCAGTTTTTCCAGCACCATTTGCTAAATATGATCTCACCCAGTGGTTGTTATTGATGGTTTTGTCAAAGATGAGCTGGTTGAGAGATCAAGGTTTTGCTCCCAGAATCTCTATCCTGATCCATTGGTCTATATGCCTGTTCTTGTACCAGTACCAGACCGTTTGATTACTGTAGCTTTATAGTAAAGTTTAAAGTCTGGAAGTGTAATACTTCCTGCTTTGTTACTTTTGCTGAGGATTGTGTTGGCTATTCATGGTCTTTTTTTTTTTAAGTCAATAATATTTAATGTCAGTTACACATTTCATTAGGGGAAAAAATGCAGCAAATGGAATAAGGTAGGATAAAAAAAAACCACAACCACCAAGTTTATACGTGTCCTTCTATCTCCATCTGGGATCAGGTCCTCCCAACATCAGGCACAGCAGCTGCACTTGTCCAATGCCTCTTTGCAGACACAGCCCTGGGCACACTTGGCACAGCCCATGGGGCAGCAGGAGCAGAAGCTCTTCTTGCAGGATGTGCATCTGCACTCTTTGCACTTGTAGGAGTCAGCACAGGCGCAGGAGCCACCAGCGTTGCAGGAGCAGTTGGGGTCTATGTCGATTCAGGCAAGGCTAGAGTTGCAGGCGAGAGGGAAGAGGCAACAAAGCACGTGGAAGGTTTCTATTCATGGTCTTTTATGTTTCCATATGAATTTCTGTATTGTCATTTCCAGGTCCGAGAAAAATGTTGTTAGTAATTTGATGAATATCACATTGAATCTGTAGGATGCCTTGGTAGGATGGATATCTTGACAATACTGATTCTTCCAATCCATGAGCAAGAAATGTTTTTCTGTTTATGTCATCTTTGATTTCTTTGAGCAGTGTTTTGTAGTTCTCATTGCAAAGGTGTTTCACTTCTCTTGTTATGTGGATACTAAGGTATTTCTTTTTGTGTGTGTGCCTATTGTGAACCGGATTACACTTTTTATTTGGTTCTCTTTCTGCCTGTTGCTGGTGTATAGAATTGCAGCTGTCTTTTGCATATTGATTTTGTACCCTGAAACTTTACCCAAGTTATTTATCAGTGTGAGGAGGCTTTTGATGGACTCCCTCGGATTGTCAAGGTAGAGAATAATATTGTCTGCAAAGAGAGATAGCTTAACTTCCTCTTTTTCTATTTGGATACCCTTGATTTCCTTCTCTTACCTGATTGCTCTGGCTGAGACTTTCTAGCACTATGTTGAACAGAAGGGCTGAGAGTGGGTATCTCTGTCTTGTTCCCTTTCTCAGGGGGAATGCTTCCAACTTCTGCTTATTGAGTAAAATGTTGGCTGTGAGTTGGTTGTAGCTCTTACTGTTTTGAGGAATGTTCCTTCTATGCATAGGTGTTAGGGTTTTTTATCAAGAAGGGATGCTGACTTTTGTTTAATGCTTTTTCTGCATCTAATGATATAATCATGTGGTTCTTGGCTTTACATATGTTCATGTATTGAATTATGTTTATGGTCTATGCCTGAATTGAGATAGAAAAAAAATGTTGTGATTATATCTTGAGGTGATGAAAAGGCACCAGGATATGAGCTGTTGAGAGCAAGAACCTTACTTTCTTGTTTCCCATGTGTACCTAATACAGATACTCAAAAAATAGTCTGTGAATGAATGAAAATCCAAAACAATTTCATTCTGGATAAATCAGATCTTCATAAAAGCAATAGAGATAAATATAAGGTTTGAACATTTGTGATATAACTTGAGAGGAAAAAAACAAGTGAGTTGCAGTAGCATATGTTAGAAAGGAAAAAAATGAGTGGCACAACACCAGTTATTCAAAGTCATAATACAGAAAGCTTCTCTGACCCTGGCTCTGTTACTGTCTGTTTCATAGTTAGAGAGAAAAGACTGAGTGGCCACTACTCACTGCTGGTCCCACATTGTACGGTACACAAATGGCTCTCAGTTCTCAAAATCATATTTGAACAAGGAGAAAAGACATATCAAAGTTACCACCAACCCAAATGATAAAGACCTGTAAAACAAGTCAGTTAAGTAACACTTAAGGAAATTATGGCTTGGATCCTGGACAGTACTATAAAATGGCATTTGAAGAGCTAGATATTTGCATAGCCCCAGAATCACTGAAAGAGGATCAGTGAAAAGAATCTATAGGAAAATACACACAGAATCAATAAATGATAGAAAAAATATGTTTTTTTAAACAAGGAAAGAGTTCAAATCATAAAGGTTCTGAGAGACTGTGAGTTCTTTTCACTGAATTTCTAATCCATGCACCATCCATTTATTCACTCATTCAACAAGGAAACGTTTAGTGCCTTCTGAGTGCTCTGTGTGATCTGTCCCTGTTCGATACCCTTCTTTCTCCTAAGTTCTATTCATTTGTTTAGGTCTAAACTGAAATGTTATTTCCTTAGATGCTTTCCCTGATTTCAAAACCTAAATAAAATCTCTCTCTCTCCTTCTTCATTGCTGATGTACAAGTTACATACCATAAAATCCACCCATTATCAATGTACCAGTCAATGAGTTTTATTAAATTAATATAGGTTTACAAACAACATTCCAACTCAATTTTAAAACATTTCCATTATCCCCCAAAACTTCCAGCATGACCATTTGTTGACAATCTTCCCTCCCAGCACCAGGCAGCCATTGATCTGCCCTTCAACCATATTGTTATGTCTTATGTGAAAATTTCATATATATTTAATCATTTCATATGCGTTCTTTCACTTAGGATGTTTCTGAGGTTCACAATACTTTGTTCCTTTCAATTGTCAAAATAAAATTCCATTGTAACAATAGGCTTCATTTTGTTTAGATATTTATTAGTTAAATATAGGCATTTGGATTATTTTTAGTTTGGGGCTACTGTGAGCAATGTTACTATCAAAATTCACACAGAAGTCTGTGTAGACATTTGTTTTTTAGTTCTATTGGATAGATACCTAAAAGAAGAATTGCTAGGTCACATGGCGTATGTATGTTTAACTTTTTAAGGATACAATGAAACTGCTTTCCAAAGTGGTTGTGTTATCTATACTACATTTCCACCAATAATGTATCACTGTTCTACTTTCTCTATATTCTGGACAACACTTGATATTCTCTGTCATTTTAATTTTAATCATTCCACAGGATGTGATATGGTACAGTATCTCATTATGATTTGAATCTACATTTCTTTAAAAACCAATAATTTTGAGTATATTTTCATGTGCATATTTGGTATCCTTATCTTGAAATGCTTTTTCAAATCCTGTATCCATTTTTTACTTGGATTGGTTTGTCTCCTTATTATTGAGTTACAGGAGTTTTCATATATTCTGGATACAGTCCTTTAGCAGATATATGATTAACATCTATTTTCTCAAATTCTCTGAGTTCTCTTTTCTGTTTTCTGACTAGTGTCTTTTGAGGGGCAAGAATTTAAATTTTTAGTTTAGATAAAATCTAATTTACCATTTTTCTTTTATGGATCGTGTTTTTATGTCATATCTAAGATCTTTTTTGCATAACTCAAGAACACAAATATTTTCTCTTATGTTTTCTTCTAGAAGTTTTAAACTACTTTTGCTGTTGGTGAAGTAAGGTTTACATTCCTTGTTTTGGTTTTATTTTGTTTTGTTTTGCTGTTGGCATATGGTATTCAAATGTTCCAGAACTGTTTGCTGAAAAGATTATCATTTCCCAATAGAATTACCTGTGTGATTTAGCACTTTTGCTAAAATCAATTAACTATAATGCTGATGAGTATATCAAAATCATGGACACCTATATAGTCCTTATTGTGCACAACAGTTATTAATAAATGCTTATCTTTGACAAGCTGGAGCATGAAAATGCATTCACAGTCTTCAATAAACAAATAATTGTTGTATACTTATAGTGTAGGCAATTCTGAAAATACAGAAGTAAATCAGACATGGAATCATCTACCAAAAATTTGTAATCTAGATTAGGAAGTAACAAAAGTCTCAAGAGAAAAAACATATAGTGGCATGGATATTTAGGTAGAAGGAGGTTACCTCTAAAAATATCTGCAAGGCTCCATGGTGACAGTGGCACTGAGGAATTTGATTCTGTAGAAATAAATTGAAGGGCATTTCAAAATGAGGACAAAGCTGAACACAGGCAAGGTGTCAAGAGAGTGGGAAATGGCAGAACATTGGTGAAATAGGAGAAATATTCAAAAGTGAGAGGATAGTAATATGGAAAATACATTTGGAAAGGTTAGTGCCAAACTAAAAAATTGGATTTTATTTTCTAAGCAATGGAAGTTACTTAAGGTTTACGAGAAGAAGAATATCATGATAGATGCTCATAGCTGTACCAATGCCAGTAAAATAAAACTGTTAAAAAACATTTATCATAATTTCTAAAATTATTTAATCTCATTTAGGAGATGCTGTAATTTAGTGCTTGCTCTAAGAGTTTCTGTGCCTATTCGTAGCCTGATACCAATTAAAGACAAATTCTTTAGATCTGAATCTTCTTTTTCCTTCATGTTTCTATTCATCTGTTCTCTCAATATATAATCCCAAGTGCCTTCTATATATTAGGCACTGGATACAGGTTGGTTTAAAAAAGAAAATAAAAGCCTATACTCAGCCTTCATGAAGTAAATTTACATACACACACAAAATATACTCACATACAGGCACATTACATGTAGAAATTCAGTTATTAAATAAATTGTGATGATTGTTAAAGAGCAATAGTATCTTTATAAATAGACCTTTATTTTTGAAATTTTGCCATTATGTATGTTAACCTATTTAATCCTTATAAAAGTCATTTTATGATAGTATTGCAAGCCTCACTTTACACATGAGGGTATTAAAGAACACAAGATTAACTCATACAAGTTCATAAACCGAAACATTAGAAAGTTAGCACTCTAACCCAGATCTCCTGATTCTAAACCCAATACTCTTACCATCATGTTTAGAGGTTTTAAATTACCTTTTCTTTTTCTAAATTAGCATGAAGAAATTTTAGTGTATGGCTTAATCCATGGCAGGATATGCAACACTGCAAAAATATCCTGCCCATTGTGGTCCATTTCTTGGCCATTTTATTCTTCCTACTCAAACAACCCCCGCCCCCATGCCACCTCCCCACCACACACAACACACACCCACTACAGAAGGATGCTTAATAAACGCCACTCTGGTCTAATGCTGACGGCTTGGCCCTGTGGGTCACATATACACTGTCTCATACTCTGAACAGTGAGGAGGATATTTGTTCTCTTAACAGAGCAGTCGTTTGTCAGAAAGTTTAGAAAGTTCAGACCGAGTCTCTCAGGGTAGAAAGAGAAGAAAAAAGAAAAAATTGAGAGCTGAGAAGACCCAGCAACGTCTATATACAGGTCAAGAATTTTTAATTGCTTCCAACCTGGTGAATTTGGCTTTAAAACATATCCTTAATTCAGGAAGACCAGACTCAAAGGAAATTTGTTCTAGAATAACATAAGAGCCAAGATGAGATTTAATGCTTCCTTAAAATAAATGATTGTTTTTCAAAGCCACAGTCTTGCTGTTGCCATGACACTGTGATTTGAGTTGGTCTCAGAGAACTGGATTTTTTTTTTTTAGATTACCCATTTGTATTTTATTCGAAATTTGTTTAGGAAATTTCTGGTAAGACTGATTATATTATATTAGAAATGTATTTTAACATAAAGTTCATCTTTTCACTAAAGATACAATGAGTTCTACACGCAAATTGTCACATGCGTCTCTTTATTTTTGATTCATAGTATTTTGGAATTTCCTAGGAGCAGGAGCTAAATCATCTAGATCAAATGGTGAGAAAAAATATTACAGGCTACACTTGACATATGGCAAAGAAGCAGAGTCCTAAGTTACTATTAAGTGAAAATAGTCCTAGAGCATCTATGACCCATTAAAAGACTTAAGAGAAGTGCAGATTACTGAAAAAAATTAAACAAAGCATTTTTGCATTTAACATTTTTGTATCTAATAATTGTGTCCTTTTCAAAAATCAAAATTATATAATTATTACAGTAATAATCATAACTCTAAAATAAGAATTAACTTAGCCTCAAGGAAAATAGCATAGCATAACCTCTGGGAGAAATAAGCACAACAGTTTTTTACCTTTTTATTTTGAAATAATTATATATTCATAGAAAGTTACACCAAAAAAGGTCAGAGAGGTCCTATACACCTTTTATCTAGCATCCTCCAGTTTTAACATCTCTTATAACTGTAGTATAATATCACAACCAGAAAACTGGCCTTGATAAAACCAGAGTTATTCAAGTTTAATCAGTTTTACATGCATTTATGTATGTGTATGTGTGTGTCCATGCAATATTATCATATGTGTAAATTCATGTAACAACTACCACAATCAAGATACAGAATGGTTCTGTCACTGAAAGTTTCCCTTGTGGCAGTCCTTTAAAGCCACATACACTGTCCTATTCCTAACCTTTTATGGCAATCATTTGTTTCCCATTTCTGTAATTCTACTATTTCAAAAATGCTACAAAAATGGAATCATGCAGTAAGTAACCTCTAATTATTTTACCCAGTATAATTCTCTGATGATTCATCCAGACTGTTCCATGTATCAATAGTTTGTTCCTTTAGTTGCTGAGTAATATTCCATAGTATAAATGTACCACACTTTAACCATTTACCCATTGATGGACATCTGGCTGTTACCATTAAGATTACCATAAACATTCATGTACAGTTTTTCATTTGGACATAGGTTTTCATTTCTCAGTTATGATTGTCCAAGAGTGCAATTGATAGAGTAATTGCATGTGTGAAACTAAATGAAATGTGATCTAAAACTGTCTTAGAGCATAGTAAACTGCAACCCGAGACTAGCTGAGACTAACCTAATTGCAACCTAACTTAGTGTGTAAACAAACCGCAATCTAACTGAGAGTATATTCGCAGAACAAGAATCTACTATAACAAAGATTGGAGGGAATGCTTCAGAAATCCATGTTCCCAGATGTCAGCTAATGGCCAAATAGGCCTTTCTAAGGATCAATAGCTATCTCAGTGCAGGCCTGCTGGCTAAGTTTCCACTACATATCAGATTTCTTCCTCCTTACTTGTGGGTTAATAACATTTTGCCCCGTTTTGGTAATCCTTCAAACAACAAATATGGAAAAGCAGGAAAAATTAACCATTTGCATTTTCAAGATTAGATTTTTTCTTTTTTTTTTTCATTTTTGAGTCAGAGTCTCACTCTGTCTCCCATGCTGGAGTGCAGTGGTACATTCACCGCCACCCCAGCGTCGACCAGCCGGGCTCAAGCGATCCTTCCACCTCAGCCTTCCACGCAACTGGAACTACAGGTGTGCCCAACTAACTTTTGATTTATTGTAGAGACGAGGTCTTGCGAGTTGCCCGGGCTGGTCTCGAACCCTTGGGTTCAGGGAATCCACTCCCCTCGGCCTCCCAAAGTGCTGGGATTACAGACTGAGCCACCGAGCCCAGCCAAGAATAAACTTTTAAAACATTTAATAGAGAATAATGTTGAAAATACATATATATATTTATATATTTACTATAGGTTAAATATAGTCTTAATACATTATTTCCCATTCAACTCTTGCACATTTCATATGAAAATCAAGATTGCATCATAGTTTTCATATTCTATATTTTGTTGAATTGTTGTGTTTATTAGTTACTATTACTAGAATAGAAGTTACTTTTATTTAAAGGAATCTAACAAAGAATAATGGGAATACTTCAGAGACTACAGCAGCTGAGCTTCAGTCAAACATAGGCTGCCAACCCCCCAGACCATGTTCATAGGGGGCAAATGCTGAACCCTAAGCCATTGAGTTGTTTCTGTAAGTCATTTTGTTTTTCTGTCTATGATATTGCCTAGCCCATTGCTGAGTGGAGCACTCTAAATGTCTACTGGCTCCAGTGTTGCCCAATTCATGAATCAGTCTTTGTGCAGATAAAGTCTACTAACTTTAATTTGTCTAAAGTTTTTCTTTTAACATGGGTTTATTTTATCAGAAACTGCCGAACTATTTTCCTTAGTGACTACATCATTTTATACTTCCATTAGCAAAATATGAATGATCCAGCTTCTTGGAATCCTCACCAGCATCTGGAACTGTCATTGTTTTTTTTGTTTTTTTTTTTTTTAGCCTTTCTGATGGTACACAGTCATATCTCATTATGGTTTTAATTTTTATTTCCCTAATGTTTAATGATGTTGAACATTTTTTGTGTGTGATTATTTGCCATCTGTATACCCTCTTCAGTGAAATGTTCGTTGCCCATTTTCTGATTGGATCATTTGTATTGTTGTTTGTTGAATTTTCAGTTCTTTATGTATTCTAGCTACAAAATATTATAGATATTTACATTCTTTGTCAGATATGTGGTTAGCAAAGATTTTTCTCCTGCATGTAATGTTTTAGAAAAAGAAAACTGGGAGACAGGTAGACATGATATGCAATTAAATTATTTCCTCCAGGGAATATCAGATCTAATCAGTACTCATCAGTTTTAGCCAGAAATACAAAGTATACTTAGGAATCTCAGAGTTAGAAACAATAATAAAGAACATCTGAAGAGTGGGAAATTTTTACCACATCTTGTTATCATCATTCTTACGATTAATCTCTTTGTGGCCCAGTGAATAAACACATCATGCAAAAATTTTTTCTCCATTCAATTCCTGTGACTGGTATTCTATAGAACTTTAGAAGGTGGATTTTTTTCATTGAAATGTGTTTAGTCGGTATAATAATTATTAATTACTTCTGGATTCATAGAGTAGTACTTCCAAAATTTTTCTTATATGTTAATGAAAATATTACTGGTTCAAATACAGTCTGATTTTATTTGTTATAGTCACTAAAAATAAGCCCACCTAAAATTTTCCACAGCTAAGATTGTATTTCAAAATGGCATACTGACTAATTTATAAATTGAATCTAAATTCTACCTTGAGATTCTATAATACAATAAAAATATAATTCAAGGCAACCCCCTCAGGTCCCCTCCCACTGTGGTAGCTTTCCTGTCCTCTCAATAAATCCTTCTGTCTCACACATAAACACACACACACACACACACACACACATAATTCAAAGAATTAATCTTTCTCTTCAAAAATTATCATGAAACAAAACTTACTTTTAAAATGATTGAAAAATAAATATTAAATGCATCATGGTACAATTAAAAAAGAGCTTTCATTTTAATTTTTGATAGAGAATTTATGCATGTGGAAATTATTGGACATGCTACTTAATAACTTGTTATTGTTTCTGACACTCAGCTTAATATCCTCTTCATATAAGTGGTAACTTCAAGTTATTAATGGCATGAACATGTTTATATAAAAACAAAATTAATATTTTTCCTTATTTACCATCATTTAGTTGAGAAATTGTATGAAGTAAAGTTATTTTAAATGTATATCCCCAGATGTTTTTATGTGAATTATGCTACTAGACAGATACAACATATAAATGTCAGTGAA